AAAATAAAATTAAAATTTTATAGACAAAGTTATTTTTAGTGTTCTCTTACAATGAGATGTAGAGGTGCAGCTATACTCAATAAAAAGTTATATGGATAAATATGATTTAATCTATAAAAAGATACTTTAAGTCAGAAACTTTGCAAACATTTTCATTTTTTAACCCTTTCCAATGGCATCTTTGTTGTTGATGTCCTTTCGGCCTTGAGTTGTTGATATTTTTACTATTTAAAACAATTATTTAAATCAAAGAATACATATATAACAGCACGTTTTCATTTTATTCTTCCAATTTGTTTTATATAATGAAAATAAATAAATAAAACGTTAAAGATAAGTTTTTTCGTAGTATAATATAATAAAAACTTTAAAACATTTGTTTTATTACCACGTAACATTTATTTTCTTACATTGAAGATAAACAAACTTTCCTAAGTTAATTAATGTATGGCATATAACTGTAAAATGCTATATTAAATTCTTATCAAATCTATTAAAAAGATTTTAAATAAATAAGTTAGTGTGAGGTTCTTACGGATCTTCACTAAAATTTGCGTTAAAATATTTTTGAAAGAATAAAAAAAGAAGAGAGAAATTTCTTTTTAAGTATGAAAAACGCGACGAGAACTTATAAACAATAGAAAAATGTAAGTCGTAAGATCAATCATCTCCAATTGGGATCAGATTAAATTTCGATTTTGACCTTTCTCGCGATCTAAGTCGAGATCTCGTTGCACTTAGCAACAAATAACCGACCACTTAAAAGACCAGAACGAAGAAAAGCGACCAATCGGAATGGGCTGTCTGGAACAGAAAATAATAAAAACTCCGAATTTCAAGGACGTGACGGCTTCTTCTCCAAGTGTTGGGTCATTTATTGTGTATGTGTCTTGTGCATATCCTCGTCTCCGTCTCCCTTCCTAGGATCGTCATCTTCCCATCATCGGAAGTCAGAGGGAGACATCAAACCAAGGACACTTCGTCATTTGGTACTATCTTGGAAAGGAGAGGAAGATCTAGAAGCCATCACCGAGTTATAACTTCCAAACTGCGAAATAGCGTAAAATAAACGGTTTGTTGTAACCGTCGAGATCTCAGTAATGATCGCATTCACATACGACTCTTTCCACTCTTCTCTTCATTCGGACCTCGTACTCTCCTATCGGCAGCTTATAAATACAATAGTAAAGAAAATTTCCATAAACTAAATCTTATCAGAATAATAAGTGAACTCTGAATGACACTTTCAACATAAGTTTGAATGATAGCAATAGCAAATTTATTTAAAATAAACTGAACATATTTTAGAACTTGATAGCCTCCAGGTGCTGAAAAGTTTGGAACTATATAAAACATTTTCGAATGTTATCCTTTAAGGTAGTTTTTAAACGTCAATAATTTAATAAAACAGACCATTGTTCTTAGTAATCTTCGTTATTATTTGTAGAATATCATTATTTTGTTACATTTTCGAATCCATTTCTGTAAAAATAGTCATTTTGGACAATTTCAGTTATCTATTAGGAGTTCCTCAGTTTTAAACAGAACGACATGTTTTTCCAAAAATTGGGAAAACTTATAAATTAATACGTTTATTAGCGAGTTGGGAATGACTTATAAAAGTTAAAAGTAACTTTTTAAAGTTACTTTTAACTTTTATATTATACGAAAAATTTTATTTTATTTTCTTATGTATCAACTCGTTTTAAAAATTTAAGACACAACTTTTCCATTTCGTATTGCAGAATTTTCAATTATCAAAGCGAGTTTTAATATACTCGTATATATATTTAAATACTTTTATGTTCAAATACTTGAAATTTGAAGCAGATGCCANTTATGCTCCATTGCAATTACTATTTAAAAATAAAATCGGGGCTGTTACAGCCCCGATTTTAGAAAGAGAATACTATAGAAAGAGAAAAGTCATTCTGAATGCATCTATTTTATTTGCAAAATTTAATACTTCTTACGTTGACTGTATATTAATCGGATAAACAAAAAATCAGGTAATAATATTAAACAGAAATACAGTACAGAATATTTATAGCAGAAAAAAACAAATCCAAACAACGCATATTCATTGCAGATAAGTAACAATTTCTTATATTTATTCTTTGCACTACTAACTCGTAAGTGTTAATGGCTACATGTCCCGATCTCTAATTGGATTATATATAATATCAAATCTCACAGATAATCCGATTAAATGCCGATTAATTGATATTATATAACATGTGATCAGGGTATTTCTATTCTTTGCACTATGGCTATCAGAACTGCTAGTCAGAATTTATATAAAATCACAAAAAAACAAATGTTTCTATTAACATTAAACATTGAAAAACATTATAACTTATACAGTAAAGCCTGTGAAATCGGAAACGCACGGTACATAGCCTAATATTTTTTTCGGTTTGACAGGTTTTGAACAGATTTTTTAACATCTGTACCGAATAATTTTTTCCCGTTTAAACAGGTTTCCCTTTTATTCGGGTTCCATTTTCAATAGGTTTGAATGCATGTTACCGCTAAAGCTCGAAATCCGTTAATGTGCACATTACATAGTTAATCTGCACATTAACTAGGGTGATCCGTTAAAGTTGCTAAAATTGTTCTATNAAATACCTACTTTCAATTCACATACTTTGCACAAAGGAGAAGGGCCTCGCAAAGATCTGTCGCCCGGAGCCTCGCAATGGTTAAGGCCGCCTCTGATTGTAAATTCTAATGAGTAAAATTTTCATCAAATCTGACCCCACTCGAGTAGAGGAGGGTCGTGTGTGGTAACACACGACCCTCCTCTACTCCCTATTCTATTCGCTTGTGCCAAGAAATATAGGTGGCGTATGAGTTGACCAAAATGGCTGCCACAAAGGGTATAGCGTGCGTGGCAATATACGAGAGTTACATGTGTGTTGTCTTTTTAATGTATTTTCTCTCTGTAGTCAAAACGTTTTATTCGCATTTGTGTCCGACATTAATCCTGACAACTACGAAATCGATTTCGTAGTTGTTTAAGTCATGATGATTACACCTTATGACATTTTAGAATATGTGGGTGATCGGAAGATGGAACTTTGAAACTTGCGCTCATATTTTCCA